TCATAGTATAAGCCTGTTGGGACTTGTATGATGAGCTGCGAGACGAAGACGTCTGTCACTCAGTGGGCAAATGGATCTGGACAAGAAACCCATCTTCCTCGTGCCCTCCCTGTGAAGATGCCAGTCCTAGTGAGTGCAGGGGTGGGCCTCATAAAACAGGGAACTGGCTTTTGGGGGGCGCAAGGGGAGAGAAAGAGAAGTCCCTTCCACATCCAGGAAGGTTTTCCTGTTACAGCACTCCTGCCGATTTGCTCCTGTTGGGTTTGGAGCCGTGATGGGCTGTTAGAGAAACGCAGCCTTGTTTTTCACACAACGAGTCCTTCCAGGTGGCACTTGGCCCAGTAAAGCTGCCATGGCGTTGTAACTGGAGAGTACTGCGATGTCCTGGAAAGAGTCTGCTCTTGTTCTCCCACACGTGTGTTTGGGAAGAACCAAGGACACAGCAGTCCTTGAAAAGAGAGGAAAAAACCCATTTTCGTGCCATTTTCCTGGTTTTGGTTGTGCTTGTGCTCCGTGATGCTTTCATGCTCTGAAAACTGCATTGCTGTCCTCTCTCGGGGGAGTTGCAACTCATCGTCCAGCTGCTGTGGAGGATGAGCATTGAGGTGATGGAACTGTGATTGAGTACAAGGTCATCACTGTCTGTAAAATGGTCCTGAGGGTGGATTCAGTGCTCCTGGGCAGCAGAGGCACCGCTGAGAGCCGTGCACCTGCAGGCAGGGAGTGCCTAGAGATTGTGGCTTGTGTTGGGAGAAACCAACATTTGGGCAACCCTCCAGGAGAGGGTGAATCCAGCTCCATGGTGGTCCTGGGCCATGTCCGTTCACAAGCCTTGAGGGTCTTGCGAATAAATGGACAGCATGCTAGCGGTCCTTCAGGGTCTCCACAGCAAAATCTGACGTCAAGAGGTGCCTCCAGGTTGATGTAAGATGTCTTTATCTCTCCAGGCAGCTCTGGTTGCTTCCTTGTTCCCCATGCCTGGGGTAAGACACACTTCTGTCATCCTCTCTTGGTCTTACGTGCGCTTTTGGGCGGTCTTTCTCTTGGGCATGGACCCAAAGGATGACTTGCTGTCCCACCAAGGACAGATGCAAATTTGTCCCGCCGTCCTCCAGCCTGAGGGCAGCTCTTGCTGTCTTTCTGCTGTTGTCCTGGCAGGACTCTGGTGTCCTAAGCACAAGGAGTTTGTGACCAGGCTCCTGAGCCTGTTTTGGGGCATTTTTGACACTTCCATCAAATAACACTGATGTGGGAGTTGAATTATGGCCTTTCAAAACAGCCTGATTGGGTGTCCACAAAGACCAGCCCTGCAGAACAAAACAGGCTGCATGGAGAGGCAGACGAGATGGGTGGGCCTCAGGAACGTCACGTCTAGGGCTGCTTTACCATCGGCGAAGGCTTCCAGCACAGAAATACATGCTATTAGCTGGTAGCACATATGGCATCAGTATCGTGCACCCCTGCTGTGCATTCCCCCATGTGCTCCTCCGGCACATGGGCACGCTGCATGGGACAGCCCTCTGGCTTTGCTCCTGTTGGGTAACAGTGGGCTCGGTCAGAAGCCCCCGGCTGTTCCTGGCTCCTTGCAACGCATGGCGATCCCTGTCCTGGCTTCTCACGGGGTCTGGAGCCGGGGCAGAGCTGCTGCTGCTGCTCCCACAATATGCCAAAGGTCTGCCAAGCCCGGGCAGGTGGGTGGAGTCGTGTGTTTTGTTGTAAATGGAAATCTCAGCTAAAGGCTGATGTGCCCAGATGTATGAAATCTTGCATGGGGTTGTGAGACCTGGCTCATGACTCCACAGCCCTGGTCCACAATCTGCTTTCCTCCTCGTGACGTTACGGTTGGGGCTTTTCCTGGGCTGTGAATGCACTGCCATCTCCTCAGCCTTCCACCCCTTCTTTCTCCATCTGCTTCATCCCCTCTACAACTGAATATATAAAGCCCCCACCCCTGTAACGGTGAGGAGGGAACAGAGCTGGCTGCATCCCTTTCTCTGCTCCCTGCTGTGTCCTGTCCTTTGGGCTTGCCCAGGGGAGGATGCGCCCAGGGGAGGGCTCAGCCGCCGCAGACCTGTGCGGATGAACCAGAAGGGGAATATTCAGAGCATTTCTGTTAACCTGTAGCCGGGAGAGAGCTGCCAAGGAGGCCACGCTGAAACCCGAAGCGGCTGTTTTTCCTGAGACTCAGCACTTGGCAGGGAGAGCAGACGGACGAGCGGCGGAGCGGGGAGGGATGCAAGCACCCTGGGGGGACAGCGCTGCCAGCAGAGGTGCCCAGGGAAGGTGTGCTGCTTACCTGCTTGCCTCTGGGGGTTCATCTCCATGTCCTCCCTGTCCAAGATCACCAGGGGAGCTGAGAGGAGGCTGGGGTCATTGCTGTCCCTTCTGTCCTTATGTGTGGCTCTTCCCTTGGTCGCCCTCTTTGTGCCATGTACTGAGCATCTCCTTCAGCAGGGACAAGCTATGGCTGGTTTTCCCCTTGTGTTGCTCACCAAGCTCAGGAGATGGTCCAAATGTCCCTCTCGGCTCAGCCGCCGCAGGGTTCGGCTAAGCCAGTCCGGCTGGCAGCGCTCACCCTGCCTGGACCTTTATTCCTTTATAGCTCAGCGTTATCTCAAGGTCCCCGGCGTTGCGGCCGGCGCCGTGTTTGCCTGGCCTCACAGCACCTGCCTGCCAGCCGGTCGCTTCCCACCCGTCTCCCTCCCACCCCTGGGTGGTGGCAAGGAGCTTTCGGGGGGCGCATGGGAGCCCTTGGGGTGGGGGGAACCCCCGCAGGGCTGTAAGTCAGCCCCAGCGCTGCCAGCCCCGGGGGAGTGAGGATGATGAGTAGCCGGGGAAGTTGCCCAGCGCAGGATGGTGGGAGGGATACTCAGGGGCTTCTGTCCCATCAATTTTGCTTCCCCGTCAGCCTTGCTGCTGGGGCAGGGCTGGGCGTTATATTCAAGTGGGAACCAGGGCACTGTCCCAGCCTGGGTCTCTGCTGCCAGGACCGGTGCTGGATGCATGGCTGAGCCACCGTGCCCTGCCCTGTCCAAGCAGCATCAGCCCCTCCAGCCACGGCGAGTGCCAAGACTTCATCCAAAGCTGAGATGCTGTTAAAAATAGATCAGTCGTGAACTGGTTTTCTCCTCCTTGGTTCCTGGCCCAAGAGCTCATTCCTCTCTCTGGGCTGGCTTTGAAGCTATCTGGATGCTGTGAGGCGTAGGCTGCGTGCCAGGCTGCCGTTGCAGGGAGGCTCAGGGAGCAGAGAGCTGCGGCAACGTTATAGGTGGCATAGCTGTCCCCAATTTATTTAGTGGTGAGCGAGTTCTTTCTCCCCCACCAAAAAAAGCATCGCTGGAAAAAGAATCTGCTAAATAAATGGGGAAACGAAGTTGGGACAGGAGGGGCTCTTTGCTCCTCCGCTTGCACATGGTGCTCTTGTGAGGGGGCACAGGCACTCGAGCACTCCTGGCCGCAAAGCGATGCTTGCCTTGGCCCTGCGGCTTCCTAGAAAACCCCTGCCATGCTGTGGAGTCCCATAATCTCCCAGCCCGGAGCAATCCTGCTGGCCCCTCCACTGCACAGCTCTGCAGGAGCTCCCAAAAGCCCACAGCGTGTCCTGGGCTGGCTGGGCTGCTCACACTCCCCAGGAAAACACCGTGTCTCCCACTTTGAGACTGGTGTTCTGGATCCCAGTTTCCTCTTGTAGCCCTTTTCTGTCTTTCTAATTCTTCAGTATCATTTTTCAGGTGTGATCACTGAGGCTGGAGACAATTTTAAGATGCAGCTGTGAAACCTATTTTCAGCGTTGCTGCTATCAACTGCATTAGGTTCAGGGCTGCATGTAACCACTGAGCAATTAAATGGCAACCCTGGTGATGAATTACAACTTGAGACCTCCTGGGGCTAAATAAATATCAGCTGATAACTACCGATAAAATGAATTTCCATGTGCTTTTTTTATAAGCACCCTTCCAGTATCTGTGCCCAGTCACGGCGCTGCATGTCTCCTAGGGAAAGCCCCATTAACTGTGGCATTTCCCCCCCAACCCCCCCAGCACCTTGGGTTTCCAACCAGAGCTGGAATAAAAATAAGCCAAATAAATCTGTGTCCCGGCAGGAGCCAGGCAAGGGCAGGGAAAGGCAAGGTAAGGCAACGCAGGTGGGCAGGGAGGGAGACAAGTGACAAGCTGAGGTTTTGGGTAACTGGTCTAAATAACTTTTCCTCCCCAACTATCCCACCTCAAACGCATGGAAAAACCTGTCCGGGGGCAGAGCATGCCTCGGAAAAGCCAGCAGGATGGGGAGAGCGCTGCAAAGCGCTGGTGACAGAGCGGTGGGGTTCCCCGGGGTGATGCCTTCCTGCAAAGAAGGAGAGCAAGCAGGGAGCAGTGCCTGCAGAGCCTTCTGCTCTCCAAACGCAGTTTGGAAGAACACAGAGAATAAATTTATGGAGCTTCTTGGAAAAACGGTCTTCGCCAGTGACTTCGAGAGACTTCTGAGCAGGTTTTGTCTGTGCTGGCATTTCGTCTGGGGGCTTCTCTTCCCAGCACATTGCGGAGGGAGCGTCGGGAGGGCCGGTGCTCCGCGTCCCCGGGTGCAGCTTTCCCACTCTCTGTCTGGCTGCGGAGAGCAGCTGCACTGCCAGTGAAAAAGCATTTGGCTGAACATCCCATCCGCCTGGTTTGTAAGTGAAAATAAGGTTTGTTTGATGGCCAGCTCCACCCAGAGCAGAAAATCAGACCCTTTGGCAGATCGTTGCTACTGTAATGAAATTTAGCTGTGCTGAGACTGCCAGTCCACGAATGGGAAAAGTCCCACGTGGGTTCAGAGAAGTTTGGGGATGGATCTGTCACAACTGCTGCTGCTCCCCCAGGGGTTTTGGCACTGCCTGGGGACACCCACCGCAGGCGAGCGTGGCCCCGTGGCTCAGCCCACTCTCAGCATTGACTGAACGTCATCTTCTCCCCACAGTGAGTCCCCCCAGCCCCGGAGCCGTGTGGTCTCACAGAGCCATGATGAAGCTCCTGCCCGTTGCCCCTCTCCTCCTGCTTCTGCTGACGACACTGGAAGCCAGACCAAAACCTGCAGGTGAGCCCTGGCCGGTGGGAATTGCCTGGAGGAGAGAGAAGCGAGTGTGTCAGGGCAGCGAAGCCCTCGGAGGACAGCTTGCTGCTTGAGGTGGGGGGACCTGCTGCCTCTTCTTTGGAGTCATCCTCAGGAGGATGCAGGATCCCCCCAGGCACGTGACCTGAACTTCCCAGCGCTGCCCAGCGGAGCGGGAGCCCAAGCCTGTCCCCAGCACGGCGGGTCTGGTGCCACTTGCTCCGGGCAAGTCCTCAGCCTTGGCATAGCCCAGCTCAGGGCTCGTCACCCTCCTGCCCACGGGCTCCGACCACGTAAGGGGGAACCCCCTCCCTCCATGGCTCTCCTGATGGCGGGGACAAAGCAAACCCAGGGACACCAGCCTCTCTCCTCCCAGGGCAGAGGGAGCTAAATCAATTCCAGTTTGAAAACAGTGAAGGCACCAAACAGAGAAAAGAGCCGTGTATGTCTCACAGACCTTCGGAGCAGTTGAGATGACAGCCCAGGTCTGGGCATCATCCCAAGGGGACTCAAAGTGTTTGCTTACCATTAGGGCCAAATTCTCCCAGGCTTGGGTACGCACAAGCCAAGCAAAATATGTTCATTGGCATTTCACTTGCTAAACACTCTCCCGGTTTGCACTGGAAGTTGCACCCATATGTCCAAGAGAGGCTCTTTGGCTCGATCCCCGCCGTGTGCGTGCCCTTAGCTGTGCTTTTCACTGTCTCATTTTTTGCTATTAAACAAAAAAAACCAAAAAAAAACAGAACAAAGCAAGCCCTGGTTTTAGGCAGAAACTGGCAAAATGCAGTAAAACCAGGGGAAGCTGGAGCTGCGGGGGGAACAGGAGAATTGCCCAGAGCAGTATTTTCACGCTTGGCGCCGCAGCAGAGTGTGGTGCAGAGGTCTGGAGCAGGAGCTGCAGCGCGCAGAGGACAGCACGAGGCACTGGGCTGTTTTAGACTTTGATGCTGTGATTTGCTGCAGAGATGAAGGTGTCGCTGCATAAACCTGTGCCTAAACCTTGCCAGGGCAGATGCTGACAGACAGAAGGGTGTTTCTGCAGGCCTTGGGGCTGTCGGCTGTGGGAATGCAGGGAGCAGGAGCTGGGACTGGCTGCAGGGACAGTGCTGGGGAGGAGGGGACACTGCCATTTCCCCACAGCCCCAGGGTATATCTCCCAGCCTGTTGTCCCTGCTCCCTCTCTGACAGAGAGCACCTCCATGGGTTTATTTGGCAGTGGAAAGGTGCTGGTCTGTGGGGGCTGCCCTCTTCATCCCCCCCCGAGCACCCCTCTGGCCACCCAGCCGGCATGGCTCCGCTCCCGGCACTGCTCCCCACAGGCAGCCGCAAAGCTGAACCGTCTCTTTGCCCCCTTCCAGCCCTGAAGTGCAGGACAGGTCCCCTGGACATCGTGTTTGTGATCGACAGCTCCCGCAGCGTGCGCCCCTTCGAGTTTGAGACCATGCGGCGGTTCATGATGGACATCATCGGCAGCCTGGACGTGGGCCCCAACGCCACACGGGTGGGGGTGATCCAGTACTCCAGCCAGGTGCAGAACGTCTTCTCCCTCAAGACCTTCTTCACGCGGGCGGACATGGAGAAGGCCATCAACAGCATCATGCCGCTGGCCCAGGGCACCATGACGGGGCTGGCCATCCAGTACGCCATGAACGTGGCCTTCACCACGCAGGAGGGCGCGCGCCCTCTGCACAAGAAGATTCCCCGCATCGCCATCATCGTGACGGACGGACGGCCCCAGGACCGTGTCACCGAGGTGGCCACCCAGGCCCGGAATGCTGGCATCGAGATCTACGCCGTGGGCATCCAGCGGGCAGACATGAACTCGCTGCGGGCCATGGCCTCACCACCGCTGGAGGAGCACGTCTTCCTGGTGGAGTCCTTCGAGCTCATCCAGCAGTTCGGGAAGCAGTTCCAGGACAAGCTCTGTGGTGGGTGAGAGCTGTGGCGGTGGGGTGGCAAGGGTTACCCTGGTGCCTGCTCCTCATAGAGGCTAGAAGATGACCTTCAGAGGGGTGTTTGGGGTGGCTGCCCTTGCTAGGAGCAGCATGGACAGGGAACCAGCGTCCCCGATGGGTTGCAGAGACAGGCAACCTTTATTCTTGCTCACCTTTCCTGGGGGGAGATAAGGAAAGCTTTGAAAGCATTGCAAGGAAGCACTTTCTTCAGCCTCTCCCAGTAGCTCTGCCCCAAGCCAGGACATCGTGGCAGCAGTGATGGGAATAATAAAGAGCAGGAAATACGGAGCTGATTTCCCTGGGTGTGACGGGGACGGGTGACACGTCCCAGAGCCCCGTGTACATTTTGAGGTGGCTCTAGCAGGGTCTCCTCCTACGCAGACACGTGCGTGGCATCCACTGCACGCACATTTGTGTTTAATAAAACCCTGGCTGTGTGGGGCTGCTCTGGAGCATCCGGCCGGTCTCGGCTGGGAGCCGGGAGGCTGGTTCGCACTGTGGCCATACTGGTGCGGGGTGGGAGATCCCAGGCCGGGGCCAGGCTGTCCCCTGGTGGGCTTTGCCAGAGACCTGGCACGGCAGCAGGCTGGCAAGACCTTGCTCACGTGCTTCAGCATCTGTCAAAGGGCAGAACACAGCCGCCAGCATCTTTTGGGCAGCGTTTCCCAGCCAGGGCCGCGTGTGTGCCTGCGGGGTTGCTTTAGTGCAGTGGTGAGTCTGGCTTGCTGGGGTTTGGGGGGTCCAGGGCTGACCAGATACTACCCCCGGGGCTCTGATGTGCTCCTGTGCCCACTGCCTTTGCTTACAACACCCTGTTATCACCTGCCTGCCCTGGTCCCCGCTTCCCGGCTGGCTCTGCAGGCTCCTGGCCGTGCGGATGCGCCGCCCTGCCTCCTTCAGCGTGTTCTGGCTGAGCTCAAGCTTTCGCTTACTCAGCTCAAGCTATCGACAGTATCAATTAATACTGAGCGTAGATCAGAAAGCCGAGGCAGTTCAGAAGCCTGCCCCGGGCGGCGTCCGTGTCCGTGCACTGGAAATCAGTGGGTGAGCGCTGGGGCTGGAAGGGCTGGAGGCATGCGGGTCATCCCGGTGGCTTCGGCTGCAGGTACAGGGCACGTGCCGGGGTCTCCGTGCATCCAACCTGCCCGTGGGCTGCTCTGATGCCCTTTCTGTCTTGCAGGGGTGGACATGTGCATGGAGCGGGAGCACGGCTGCCAGCACAGCTGCGTCAGCACCCCCAGCTCCTTCTACTGCGAATGCAACCCGGGCTACAGGCTCAACGTGGACGGAAAGACCTGTTCCCGTAAAAACCCTTTTTTTTTTTTATCCTAACTCTCATAGAGAGCTTGTAGTTACAGGTCTCATGGAGGGAAACCGAAACGCAGCGGAGGACCCAGCCAGGCCAGCAGCTGCCTGGGTGCTCTGTTCACCAGGGACACTGCCTCCCGGGTCTGTAACGACTGGGGACATTCAGCATTGCTGAATCCTGGTCACCTCTCTGGGATGGGACACTTGGGGCTTATGTGGGCATAACTGCCTGTCACCGGAGGGAGCTGTGGGCAGTGGGTACCAGACGATGCATGTCCCAGCCACCAAAGTGCATAGTGTTTTGGCTCTGTATTTTGAGCGCAAAGTGGTATTAGTTGGTTCTGGCCACCACCCTGGGGCTTTTCCTTCTTATCTCAGTGCCGGGAGCTTCCTCGAAGCCCTGGAGCAGTCCCTGCTCGGCTGCCCTGGGGAGATCGGGACGGGAGGGTGACGGGTGTCCTGTTCCCCCGCAGCCATCGACGCCTGCGCAGACGGGAGACACGGCTGTCAGCACCAGTGCGTCAGCGCTCGTGGGTCGTACTCGTGCCGCTGCCGCCCAGGTTACTACCTCAACCAGGACAAGAGGACCTGCTCTAGTAAGTGTCCCTCTCCCATCCTGTCCCTTCATTTTTTTTCTTGGTCTCCTTCTCCTTCTCTTGCCTTTCCCTTTCTGCCCACCCCTCTCCTTCTCTCACCAGTGATCGATTACTGCAGTTTCGGAAACCACAGCTGCCAGCACGAGTGCGTGAGCATCCCCAACGGGCACTACTGCCGCTGCCGCAGCGGGTTCACGCTGCAGCCCGACAGCAGGTCCTGCAGGGGTACGTCCCGGTGTGGCACGGGCTGCGGTGTACAACAGACACCTTTATGTCCTGCCCTGGTCCCCAGGGGAAGGGCTGTTCCTGGGCCACCCCGCCTGGACGGGGATAACCCTATGCCCTATGTCTTCCAGCCACCGACCTCTGCAACGGGGTGGATCATGGCTGCGAGTTCAAGTGCGTGAGCACGGAGGGCTCCTACCGCTGCGTGTGCCCCGAGGGACAGCAGCTCCAGGCTGACGGCAAGGCGTGCAGCAGTGAGTACCGGGACGTGGCTCTTGGCATCCTCCTCGCCTGGGCTCTGTGCTCCTGGCGAGGGCTTATCTGAAACTGGGCTGGGGGTCTAAGCGGGACTTTGTCTGAGATGGGTTGGAAGGAGAGTGGAGAGCTGGTTGGGCTTGGGGGAACGCCCCGGCTGCTGTGGGGATGGATGTGGGCTCATGTCCTCAGAGACATGGCCCAGAAGATGCAACAGGAGCTTTGAGGAAAAGTTCAGGAAAAGGGAGAACTAGGAAAGGGGTTCAGGGGATGCTGGGGTGGCAGTGGAGGTTTTGGGGCTGAGATCCTTGGCCATGCTTTGCCCTGCTTCCTGGCCTCAGCCCGGTTGCAGAGGTGGGTCCACGTGGTGTCCTGAAGCTCAGCAGCCATGCCCCAGCCCTGGGCATCTTCATCCTTGTGGTGCCCTCAGCCAGGCTGGTCCCTTCTCACCTTCCCCCTGTGCCCCCAGGGTGCGGGGCCGGTCATGTTGACCTGGTGATGGTGATTGATGGCTCCAAGAGTGTCCGGCCCCAAAACTTCGAGCTGGTGAAGCAGTTTGTGAACCGCATCGTGGACCTGCTGGAGGTGTCCCCCCACGGCACGCGGGTGGGGCTGGTGCAGTACTCCAGCCGTGTCCGCACCGAATTCCCCCTCAACAAGTACCACAGTGCAGATGAAATCAAGAAGGCGGTGATGGAGGTGGAGTACATGGAGAAAGGCACCATGACAGGTCTTGCCCTCAAGCACATGGTGGAGCACAGCTTCTCCGAGCTGGAAGGTGCCAGGCCTCTCTCCCACAACGTCCCCAGGATCGGGCTTGTCTTCACAGACGGGCGCTCCCAGGATGACATCTCCGAATGGGCCAGGAGAGCAAAGGAGTCAGGTGCGGGGAGGACCGGGGGGGGCTGGGGAATCCCAAATTGCCGTGCTTTGGGCATCCCAGGATGGTTCCTCGGGGTGGTTGGTTCTGGGGGAGGCTGCAGCACCCAGCACCCAGCCTTGGGGGGCTGCATCGCCTGTGTCCGCGGGGGCAGCCGTGCCTCTGCTGTGGTCGCAGGGTGCTCTGAGCAGCGTCCTCCTGCAGCAGCCTGCACCGTGGCGGTAGTGCCACGCTCCTCCCCGTCCTTCCCAAATTTCTGCCGTGTATTTGGGAAGCCTGGGGGAAATCCTGCATCCTTGGCTGCCCAGGGGGAATCCCGCACCCTCAGCTTTGCTCCCTCGGGGCTCGGGACTGCTTGCTGCGGGGTGGCTGGCACAACGCTCAGGCTCCGTCCTTGCCGTGCAGGGATTGTCATGTTCGCCGTGGGTGTCGGCAAGGCCGTGGAAGAGGAGCTGAGAGCCATCGCCTCCGAGCCGGTGGAGCAGCACTTCTCCTACTCGGCAGACTTTACCACCATGACCCACCTCGTGGAGAACTTCAAGCTGAACATCTGCCCAGGTGGGTGCTCCTGGCCACACCGCGGGGCTCAGCCCAGAGCTGGGAGACCCCTCCTCTCCCTGCCGAGCTGGTGGGGTGGTTTGTGTCTCCGTCAGCCTGTGTCATGTACCACCTGGGCTGGTGTGAGCCTAGGTGTCTCTGGATCTCACTGGGCTGTTGTGGGTATAGAGGTGGGTCTCAGGAGGCATTTGGAAGAGAAGAAGGTGGAGCTGGGGGGGATGTGAGCAACCACTCCAGCACCGTGTCATGGGCAGAGGCTGGGGTTGCACCCTGCCTTGAGGGATGCTGCCCTGGCTCTGGAGATGGCCTGTCTCCGTGTCCAGACCGGTGCTTCTGTTGCTGCCGGGTGCAGGAGGACCATGAGGGGTTACTGGGAGGGTCTCCCTGCCCTGGGGCAGGTTGGGGCACCCCAGTGCCCTTGGGACCCCCCGCAGGGCTGCAGACGTGGGGTCAGCATGCCCCCTGCCACCCGGGCTTGAAGGCAAAGTGAAGCTCAGCACTGGCTGTCCTCAGCACGCTGTCACCACGGGCGCGACAGCCCCGCGGGATGCCTGGCGGTGGGCTTGCTGGTGAAAAGGAGCGAGGTTGGAAAAAGAGGGGAAGATGGGGTGAGAGCCCCGAGGCTCAGGTCCGGCCCCAGCAGGTGGCCGCAGGGACAAGGGACTCGTGCTGTGTGGGAGCAGGGAAGAGCCAGGCGCTGTGGGGCCGTGGCTCTGACTGCACCCAAACCCCCATGGTCACAGAGGAGGGCAAAGGGGAGACGGAGATCCGCAGCCCATGCGAGTGCGAGGCACTGGTGCAGTTCCAGACGAACACCGTGGCCATCCTGCAGAGCCTGACCGAGAAAAATATCCTTTGGGGTGATGCCTGGGCTTGCGGGGGTGCAGGGCAGCCTGGGGACAGACTGCATACAGGGAAGGAAGGGATGGATAAACGGGAACAGGGAAAATTTTAGGCTCCTTCAAGGGGAAAAAGCCTTTTGCCCACCAGACCGTCCAGCTCACACTGTTTCCTTAGCACGTTCACTTGCTCAGATGACGGCCAGACTCGAAGACTTGGAAAAGCAGATAGCCAACAAGAAGTGATCCTTGCAGAGGGCTGCAACGCTTGGACAGGGCACGGGGACGTACAGTAGCTACGTGGCATTTTTATTGCTAGGTTATTGTAAAGCATCAGTGTTTGTTCTTGTATCGCAAAATCCCGAGGGGGATGCGGAGTGTATTTAAAAAAACAAAAATCCTAAAAAAAAACCCAACCCCAAAAAGAACTTGAGCAAAACCTCCTGCTGCGAAGCCAAGGGGTTCAGCTGTCGCTGTTTCCTCCTTCCTCCGAACTGGCAGGTCTGGGATGAGGTGGGATGACTGTGTGGGCTGGCTGGACGTGGATGAGGAGATGTGACACCCGGCCTTTTCGCGGAGCGATTGGGATGAACCAGCCCCTGCTTGCCCCCCACCCCCACCCCCCGGCTCCCTAGCACCCAGCACGCTGCTTTGCAAGAGGAAAAAAAACCCACCAAACCTCCAGTGGTGGCACCCTGAGAGCTTCTGCCATCTCAGTGTCCGCTGCCAAGTGCTGGGGCGAGAAGAGCCGGGTGCCGCGGGCAGCGCACAGGGATGCATGCCGCCCGGCCGCCTGCCAGCGTGGCGCCCGGGTGTGCACCAGTGGGGACGGAGGTGCTATCTACCTGTGTGTATATATATATATATATATATATATATATATATATATATATATATATATATATATATATATATATATATATATATATATATATATATATATATATATATATATATATATATATATATATATATATATATTTCATTTCAAGAGCAGGGTAGCGCTATTTTTAAACACTTCTTTTATATAAAGAAATTTCTATCCTGACAATAAACACCCTGAAGATTTGTATGACACGTCCCTCTCCTTTCGGCTGGGCTGCAGGGCCCTGGAGGCATCTCTGCGTCAGAACAGGGGCCTCGGCTTTTGCAAAGGCTCCCTGTCCTCAGGCTCCAAAAATCCTTACGGAAAATCCTTGCTCTCTGGGCACCCCAGGATGCTGTAGACCTGGCCTCAGCTGGAGGCAACAGCAGCTGTGTCACCATTCCCAGTGTTTGCTTCGGAGCCTGCGCTGGTCGGAGCAGGGGGAGCTCAGCGCCTGCTTTATGGGGGTGGAAACGTGCCAAGTCAGTGGCACAGGGTCACTTGAACCCATGGGGGACATGGCCCTGGCGCCGGGATGCCTCTGCTCAGAGCAGGAGAGCTGTCGAGCTCCCTGGCTGCGTGGGGAAGGATGCTGAGGCAGCCGGGGACCCATCTCCCCCAGGGGCACGGGGCAGAGGTGGCTTTTTAGTCACAGAAGCCCACAGTCCCTGTGTCCCACACCCGGGGGAAAGGAGGTCTCCACTTAGTCCTGTCTCCTGCACGCAGGCAGAGGCTGCTGGGTAGGGATGACAGGTTTTTGGAGGGGTCCTTCGTGTACCCACCTAGTTTGCTGGTCCTGTGCCCAGGAGGTGAGAGCGAAGCGGGACTGAGAGGAGCTGTTGCTTCTGGACTAGCAATTTGTGCAGGAGGGATCTGTGTGCCCGGGGGGGCTCGTGGGGCTGTGCAGGGTGCTGTGCAGCCCTGGGCTAGCGGGAGCAGGAGGAAGAGGAGGGTTACAGCCCTGGGCTCGCACTACTTCAGCACAGCTCCTTCTCCCTGGGGACTCCGTTAGTGGTTCCAGCATCCACCTCGGCCAATTTGCTTTCCAGCGCCTGGGTGTTTCCCATGCTGTGACTATTCCTGGTGGGTTTATAGGGCACTTTCAGGGGTGGCTGAGGGACACATCCTGCTGGTCCTGCGTGCAGGAGCGGTTTGCTCCAAGGGACTCGTGTCCTAAGGGGTGCGAGCAGGGATGTGGCAGGGTTTCTGTGCTTCAGGCTGGGATGCGGGGCTGAGGCGCAGGAGGCTGAAGGCAGGTCCTGGGCTGGGGTGTGGGGTGCGCTGGCGCTGCTCGGGGGAGAGGAGCTGGGAAGTGCTCGGGTATTCACTTGACGAGGTGAAGTGTTGATTTTTCCACACACAATCAAAAGCAGCAGTTGTCTAGTTTGGCATGGGGGTTTCACGGCTTGTGAGCAGGGCTTTTGTCCCAGTTGGCATCAACTGGGGCATTTGGAGCCTCATTATTTCTGTTTGCTGTGACTGCAAATGAAGCACTGCTGATTAGCTCTGCGTATATCCCAGCTGGGAGCCCCACAGCCCTCCTCTCAGCCCTATATCCCACCCATCAGCCCCACATCCCATCCATAAACCCTCAAGCCCCCCTTGTCCTCTCACCTGCCCGCAGCCCAGCAGACAGCCCCAGGGGGGGGTTAGGAAGGTGCTGATGGTCACGAGCCACATCCAACCCAGATCCGATTGCTACAGAGTGCGGTGACCAACAAGCCACAGCAGTGTGCTGCAAGCCCGAAACTGGGGGCTGGGACTTCCCTGCATTGTGTGCAGCTCCCTAAAAAAAAATCACACAGTAAATCATGAAAAAATAATAATAATAAATTAAAAAAAAAAAGGAAGCAGTTAGCTGTGTTTAGGATTTAATAAGCTTGATTAGGGCAGATAATGGCATACCCTGAGGGCATGATTAAGCCTCAGTTAGCTCAATGTAATTCTGACGAATATTGAGGGAGGTTGTAGACAAAGTGGAACTGGGCTGGCAGCGAGATGGAGAGGCTCCAGCAGGGCTGGCAGCACAGAGTGGCCTCGGGGGTGGAAAATCCCGGGTGGGGAGGTGTGAGAGGGGAGGCGGGGGGCAGAGGG